GAATTAAAGATTTAAGTATTAAACCTTAAAATATGAAATGACTGGATGAAAGTATAGTGGAAATGTTTTAGGATGTTTGGGCAAAGATAACACAGATCAAAAGCATAGATAAAGCAGTCACCAACAAATGGAAGTACATACTACTGAAAAACTGTGACAGGAAACAATCAATAGTTAAGAGGCAGTGCAGCTGGGGATGATGGTACACACTCATGGGAAAAGGTAAGTCACCAGGGGTCTGTCCTGGTACTATTTTAAGATCCAATGCCAATGTTCAAAATATAGCAGCTATAAATATTATACAAAAGCAGTTCTTATCTAATTTTATTTATTGGCCACCACACTAGGTATTTATTTTCATTTAAAAAAACTATGAGGGCCCAGATGGCATGGTCCCTCTATCTCCAGTAGCAGCAAGGAAGCCCAAGTTGGAGGCACAGCACCCCATATCCATGCAAGCAGCCAGGCCTGTGCCAGGCACGCAGCCTACCCTCTGTCAGATGCCTGGGCACGACCATTCACCAACTCCAGTGGGGCTTGCCTGTGGCAGGGGGTGCAGAGGTGAGGACCAGCCAGCTGACCTGCCTGGACAAGGACAGTGCTCAGGCAGAAAGCGCAGCAGCCCGACTGTGTGACTGTCTACATAATCCAAAGGTCCACTTGTACCCTCAACGCCTGGCCCACATCCAGCAGAGGCCAGAGGCTGATCACATTTCCCATCTGCCAGTGGAGCAGGACAGGTCGTGGCTTGCACAGGACAAAGCACGGTGTGGGGTAGATGGACAGGGCTCTGGAACAGGAAGAGCAACTCCAACGCCTGTAGATTGCGAGGGTAGGTGCAGAAATTCGTGACTGGCTGGACCCCAAGACTGCAGATCTCAGAAAGAAATCACTAATTAAAAAAGGAGGAAATTTTTGACTCAATCTATTTTTGATATTGCATTTTAAAATTATGTTTATATTTTCTCCTCTGGGTTTTCTGGGTCCTGCCTGCCTGCCCTTTTCCTGTTTTGGTTCTTTTCTCTTTCCCCTTTTAACTTTTTTTCTCGTCCTTCTTACTTTCGTTTCCTGTAGTTTACTCCGTTTATTTTTCTCTTTTTCTTGATTGTTCTCTAACACCATTAATTTTCTTTTACTCTTCAATAAAACTTACCTCACTTTCCTCTCAACAGATCTCGCTGATTACTTTTTCAAATTCTGCTTTTTTTATTCTTTAGTTTCCTATTTTGTCTACCTTTAGTAGTGTAACTACTAAGCAATATGAATTTCTAGATAGCTAGGTAATTTTACACTATTGCTGTCAAATACTGTTCTATTTTTAGTAGAAATGAATTGTTCCATTTAGTAAAAATCTCTTCTATGCTTAGGGGTGTATATTCTTGGTCCTCTTGGTTTGTCAGGGTTAAGGTTGTATTTGACTTTGTAACTGATGCTGATTATATTACCATAGATAAGAATTCACAGGCTGAAGGATATAGTCGTACTCATGTTTGTAGCAGCATGATTCATAATACCTAAATCTTGCAAGCAGCTTAACAGATGTCCATCAACAGAAGCACACATAAAGGAAATGTATATATATATATGCACAGTGGAGTACTACTGTGCCATAAAGAAAGAGTTGAATAATTTATAGAAAAAAGGATGCACCTTGAAACAAAAAGGAATTAACTACCTGCAAGAAAAGTGAACATTATGTACTATAAATATGTACTCATAAAAAGAAAAAAACTAGTTTAAACATTATTTTTTTGTGAGACATTCTGCCTCATAGATAAGAGTCCTGGGCTCACTCAGTCCTACACATGCCCACCTTGTTTTGTGACTCAGCACTATTCTATGAAGGTCCCAGAATATCATTCCCAAGTACCCCTTCAAAGAACTCCAGCACCAGACAGCTGTTTCATTCTTACTAGCTGGTGATTGGAATTTCACTCAACACAACTCAGTTTTTTCATTTGTAGAGCATGGGCAATAATAATGGCTACTACTAGGTGTGGTGGTGCACACCTATAATCTTTGCACTCTCAGAAGTTGAGAACAGAGGATCACCGGTTTGAGCCTTGTCTGAGCAGCTTAGTAGTATTCGTGGATGTAGCTCAGTGGCAAAGTTGCCCTAACAGACATGAGGCCCTGGGTTCAATCCTGAGCACTACTAAAAGTAAAATTTAGAACAAATTTCAGAAGAGCTGGGAATGTATCTCAGGGCAAAGGCCTTGAATTCAATCCCTATTATTGAAAAACAAATAGAAACTGGTTATCTTATTAGTTTCTTTTTTGATTTTAAAGAGGGTAAAACAAAACAGAACAAAGCAGATCAGAAGAAAACAATGTAAGTGACACAGATTTCAAAGCAAGACAACAGGAGATCAACAATGGCTACCATAACGTCTCTTGTTTTCCTCTAAATAATTGTCTATATGTTCACACATAGTGAGTGCACCCAAAACAATATAAAACTGATCAAAACAGAATAAAGAAGTCATTACAGGCCTTCAAAACCAGACAATAGGAAAATCAACAATGGCTACCATAATGTCTCTCTTCAAAATAGCTCTCCAGACCTTATCTTATTAGTTTCTATGAAGCATATTAAGAAACTATAAGCACTACCCAGTAGGTCTCACATATACTAAATACTCCATGCACAAAAGCTCATTTATTTTTTTGATCACTATTCCCAGATCATGAATGAAATAGCCTTATAGATCACATCCCCAAAGGATATCAAGTTGGTTATTAAATGACTTGCTGGCTCCACCATTAATTGACGTAGCTGCAAGAAGTGTAGAGGCAGCCACTGGTAGAGAATTATTTTTTCTGTGCTGGGGATTGAGCCCAGGTCTTCACTCGTATTAGATGAGTGCTCTACCACTGAGTTGTATCCCTGGTCCATGAGGACAACTTTCTGGAAGAGATCCTGAAATGAAGGGAGTGCAAGCAGCCCAAGACCGCTCCATGCTCTCCAGGGTTGCCACGCCCTTGTTGGACTCTGGGTGGAGATCTGCGCATCAAACTGTCCTGTAACTGAAGAGCCAGTGCTCATGGTACCAACCACGTTTTTTAAATCATTTTTTAATTTTTATTTTTAAGAGATTAAGACAAAAGACATAACAAAGCAGATCAGATTAGAATAATGCAAGCAACACAGCATTTTACAAGACAACCCATAATTAACAGTAACTACCATAAGGTCTCTTTCTTTGAAATAGTTGAGCATAGCTTCATATATGATGGTATCAAACAGAACAGAACAGTATAAAACCATTCAAAAGAATGAAAGCATTACAGGGCATTCAGAACCAAATAACAGAGAATGAACAATGGCTACTATATTATCTCATTTTCCATAGAAAATTTGTTTATACTATCACACATAATAAAATCCAGTAAGATATATTATGATAGAACCAATGGAAACAGAAGAACAAAAGCATAGTAGGACTTCAGAGTAAGATGGTATTAAATCAGCACTGGCTATCACAATGTCTTGTTTTCTTCAAAATAGCTGTTCATACCATCACAGATAATAAAATCGAACAAACCATTCCAACTAATGAATGCAAACATTATAAGGCTTCAAAGCAATGCAATGGGGAACCATGATTACCATAAACTCTTATGTACTCTTACCATTTCTTACACTAGGGAGACTGTATGATATTTATACATGAGTATGATTTATTTCGCTTGTGAGTATGGTCTCATTGTGTCCATTTATTTATAAATATCTCAGTAAATATTTCTTTTTTAACAGTAATAGGTATCATAGTATATTTTGTTATGTTTATAATAGTTGTTCTTTCAATCACATATATCAAAATGAGATGAAATATAGAACACTATGGAACTTATCAAAACAGAATATTGAATAAAGCAGTACCATTAATCAGAAAAGAGCAAAACAATAATAAAAATATTTGCCTTCAAAGAGATGGTAGAAGGAAATCCCCCTTATTTGCTATGTCACTCTCCCAGGAGACGCTCAGATTTCTGATTCCCATTTGCTAATGGGCGGGGGGGGGGGAGAGGGGGAGGACAAGAGGGGTAGAGGAAGTGGGATGTTTGACTCTAGGCCGTGCATCAGTAGATTCACTATTGCTTAGCAGGGAGGCGGGCTGGTTGTTTGGTTTCACAGCGTTCTAAGTTCCAACATGGTGTGGATCTCAGGAACTGCTGCTGGTTCTCCCCCTGGAAGGGCAGCAGTCTGCCATACCACCACCGCTTACCAGGGAAGGGAGGTGCTTGCTTGGCTTCCCAGTGTCTTAAGTTCCAACGTGACGTGGATCTCAGGAACTGCTGCTGGTTCTCCCCCTGGAAGGCGGCACCAACCACTTTTGTGGAATACTGGTGTCATTTTCTGCCCACTTACACCCTCTGGCAGGGTGTACAGCCTATTTGGGCTGCAACAGATGCCGAGCCACAGAAGAAAAGTGCTATGTGTTTTCTCAGCATGGCTTTCAGAGAAGTGAGAATAGATGTTTTCTAGTAGTGCTGATATTTATATTGTGTTGAAATATTTTTTGCTCTATTATGGACCTTGTACTCCACCAACCTTGTAAAGTGGGATTTCCCCCAAATCCATTTTATTTCAAGGACAAAAAGAAAAAAAGACAACAAAATTTCAAAACATGTCAACTAGGGGTTAACAATGGTACATACATTGTCATTGTCATCCCCAAATCATTCACCCAGAGCACAAGACATCTGCATTCAATTAATACTAGCACAAATCATTGTCTTCAGTGAACTCAGAGAAGTCAGTAATATAACTGTCTTAACTATTTTCAATATACATATACATCATATACATATATGTACACATATATATGTTTTTTCTTTCAGCTTCACACTAGTGAAATGATACAATGTTTACACATATGTGTCTTATTTATTTTACTAATGAGTATGTTCTCAAGTTGCATCCATTTACCTAGAAAAGTCTCCAGTTTATCCTTCTTTATGGCTGAGTAGTCCTCCATTGTGTAAAAATACCACATATTTTTTATGCATTCCTCAGTTGATAGGCATTTAGGTTGTTTCCAAGATCTGGCTATTACAAAATGTGCTGGTATAGACGTGGGTGCACATATATTACTGTGGTATGATGTTTTTAATTCTTTTGGGAAGATACCCAGAGGGGCAACAGCTGGGTTGAATGGGACCTTTAATCCTAGTTTCTTGAGGAACCTCCATACTGATTTCCATAGTGGTTGCACCAGTCTGCGTTCCCACCAACAGTGGAGAAGGGTTTCCTTTTTTCCCTCTCCAGCATTTGTTATTACTTGATTTCTTTTTTTTTTTTTTTTTTTTTTTTTGTCTTTTTCCTTTTTTATCTGTACCGGGGATTGAACTCATGACTGCCCGCTTACAAGGCAGGCACTTGTGCCACTGAGCTAAATGCCCAGCCCCATTACTTGATTTCTTGATAGTAGGCATTCTTTTGGGGGGTGAGGTGAAATCTCAGTGTTGTTTTAATTTGCATCTCTCCCAGTTTAGTTGAACATTTTTTCAGGTATTTATTTGCTGTTTTTATTTCTTCATCTGAGAAATGTATATGCATCTCAGGTATCTATTTTTGCACTGGGTCTTTAAATCTGGGAGGATTGATTTTTTTTAACTTCTTTATATGTTTTCAATAGTAATCCTTTGAGGAAAAGCTGGCAAACATTTTCTCCCAAGTTGTGGATTGTCTTGTCATTCTGTTGGTGGTTTCTCTTGCTGTGCAAAAGCTTTTCAGTAGGAAGAGATCCCAGTTATTGTTTGTGACAGTTCCATGCAACTGGGGTTTGTTCATAAAGTCTTCGCCTACACCAGTGTCATCAAGAGTTTTGCCTACTCTATCTTCCAGCAGACTTAATGTTTCTGTTTTAATATTAAGATCTTTGATCCATTCTGATTTTAGCTTAGTACATGGTGAAAAATATGCATCCAGTTTTAATCTTTGGCATATGTAGAGTCAGTTTTTCCAGCACCATTTATTCAAGGTCATACAATCTTATGTTATCTTCCAGTTAATGTGTTTGGCACCTTTATTAAAGATAAAGTGACTTAGTGTATCTGGGGCTGTTTCTGCATCTTCTAATCTGTTCCATTGATCTTTGGGTCTGTTTTTTTTTTTGTCTGCACCACACTGTTTTGTTTTTTAAATCACAGTAGCTTTATAATATAATTTCAGCTGAAGGATTGTGATGCCCCCTGTTTTGCCCAGGATTGCCTTTGCTATTCTAGGTCTCTTCTGGTTTCAGATGAATTTTAGGATTGTTTTCTCTAATTCTGTGAGATATGCTATTGAAATTTTGATTGATATTGCATTGAATCTGTATAACAGTTTTCAAAGTATAACCTTTTTCACTATATTGGTTTTTTTTCTGCCCAAGATCATGGGATATTGTAGGGAGCTGTGGGACCGCCCCACGGCTGTCCCCCCACCTCTCCCTCATATGGGCACATAATGCACCTACATCAACCATGATCTTCTCCTGCTCACATCATGTACATGGAACTGACGATGACCCATCAGGGATCACCCTGCAGCCTCTTCCTGTCCCACCAGCCCACCCTTGCCCTATAAAAGCTGCGACCACTTCTTAAATAAATGAGACTTGATTGGACTTTCTCAACTTGTCTCCATCTCTCTTTGTCTCTTGCCCTGTCTTGTTAACCCCCGTTCCTCCTCCAGGTGGTTACCCCATGGATTGACCCGGGGGCCAGGTCAAGTGGTGCCCAGCGTGGGGCACCTGGCATGGAGGATCCAACGAGGGAGCCGTCCAGGGACATGCGTGTAAAAGTGAAACTAAGAGTTTTGTGACCAACACTATGCGGGAGCCTGCCACGCCGCTCGAGTCACGGTAAGTGGATGGTGATTCTTTCCCCTTTTTTCCGGCATGGGTCAAGCATTAAGTGATCACAAACTTTTCGTGGGAGGCCTAACTAAGGCGTTAAAGACAAAGAGAGATTAAGGCTAAAGAACAATATTTTCAATTTATTCATAAGGTTTGTCCTTGGTTCCCTTTAGAGGGCTTTATTGATGCAAAAAGATGGGAAAGAGTAGGAGATGCATTAAAAGATTACTATTGGGTCTTTGGCCCTGAAAAGGTCCCAGTTAGGGCCTTTGCCTACTGGAACCTAATCTCGGAGCTACTTACACAGCGCTGCTGAGACCCTCAAATTGAGGGTCTCAAATGAAACAATCACCCAAGGTGAAGCCGCCCTGCGTGCTTCCACCGCACCAGCACCGCTCCCCTCAGGAGACAAATCTGAAGTCTCTTGCCCCTCAGACAAGGAGGCAAATGATACATTAAAAAAGCTCCAAGATGGCAGTTCATCGCCACCTGAGCCCCTATCACCCAAGGCCCGCCACAACTCTCTATATCCCGACCTCGCTCCTGTATAAGAGGCTGATTGGGAATAATTAGCAGAAGAAGCTAGCCAACATCACTCGGATCCTATCATAGCCCCCGTTTCCATAAAACCACCCTCTCGCTACAATAAGACACCCAAATTGTCCAGCCCCTCTACTGCGGTTCTCAACTTAAAGAGTCAGAGATTTGTGTCTTGCAACAACAGGCCCAATTAGAACAAAAAAAACAAAGACTCATTCTGCAACTCCAAACTTTATGGATGGGCCAATTGGACGCCACCCCTAAGATGGCACCAGTTTCTAAAATGGCACTTGCCTCAGTTCCGCATCAGGGTGGGCCCCTCCCCAAAATGGTGTTTCCGGTGACGGAGACAAACATGCCTCCCCAAGATGGCACTGTACAGCCGCAAGATGGCGTCACACCGCCAGCCCCACAGGTCATCAGGACCCATACGCTATTTACAGGGGCAGCCCTAAAAGAATTAAAGACAGCAGTCGCCCCCTATGGCCCTACAGCTGCTGTTTTAGATTCTATGACCCAAGGTTGGATCATTCCAAATGAATGGAGGGATTTAGCTAAAGCTACTCTCTCTGGGGGCAATTATTTACTCTGGAAGTCTGAATTTATGGAACAATGTGAAAATATTGCTAGAGATAATGCTGCTAGACAAAACCCCTGGACCCTTCCCATGTTAATGGGAACTGGGGATTTTAACACCAAAGAGGCCCAAATGGGATATGATCCGGGCCTCTTTGCACAAGTTAATGTGGCCACTACCAGGGCTTGGAGAAAACTTCCCTCTGGGGGTGATGTAACTTCCTCCCTCACCCAAATTAGACAAAAGCCAGAAGAGCCATTCTCTGATTTCGTCGACTGCCTCGTACAGGCAGCCGAATGCCTTTTTGGCAGCACAGAAACTGACATGGCCCTAATTAAACAATTAGCCTATGAAAATGCAACATCAGCTTGCCAAGCCACAATCCGGCCTCAATAAAAAGAAAGAGGATCTATTTGGCTACATATGCCTATGTGTTGACATAGGTCCCGCCTACCACCAGGGCCTAATCATGGCCGCCGCAGTCAAACAAATCTTTCTTGCCCAAAAAATAATCTTACATGCTTTAAATGTGACCAATTGGGACACTTTATCCAGGACTGCCCTCTAAACAACAGCAGGGCCCCCTTTCAGTCAATTGTGGTAACATGCTAGCCCACCTAACCCTCACTCAGTATTCCCAAGGGCTCTGGCAATGTCATCTCAAGCCAATTGACCCATAAGCCAGGCCAAACTGCTCTTGCTCCTCCTATGAAGAGGCTATGCATTCCTCCTGCCATACAACAGTTTCTGAATGTGTAGGACCAGATAATCATATCTATTTTACAGCCACCCTGACCCAGAGTGGCCCTCTGCCATCTTCTGTCTTCCCGTCACCATATCAGCAGGCAGGCTGCACTGGTAGCCCAGGAGCGTCCACGTGTTGGGCTACACAGGATCCCATCCATGTATCTGATGGAGATGGCCCACAAGATCAAATTAGACAAGAGTTTGTCAATCAACAACTACAAAAAGTGATAGACAGCTCATTCCCAAAGATCAATTACCACCCATTGGCACTCCCCAAACCTTGGGGACTGGACCTAGACCCACAAACTTATGCCATCTTTTTAGCCACTCAAAAGGCATTTAATATCTGTAACCTTAACTTGGCTAAAGACTGCTGGCTATGCATGGCACTAGGCACCCCCATGCCAATAGCTATCCTCTCCAATTCAACACCTATCTCCCTAGGAGACCCCCCCTACCTGTATGCCTGGTCAGCCATTTCCTGTCCAACCAGTGGTAATGACCAATTTATCTGTCCCATGTATCCAGGGATCCCTTAGAAATGACTCATCCATCATTGATGTGGGCCCCCTCATGTTCCCCATTTGCTCTCAAACTGCCTATTACTGATCCCTTATGCCCGCCCCCCAGGACAAGTGTTTGTCTGTGGAGCCAATCTGGCTTACCATTTTCTCCCATCCAATTGGTCAGGAATATGTATGCTAGCTGCCATTTTGCCTGATATTGATATAATTCCCGGACAAGAGCCTATACCCATACCAGAGTTTACCCACATCTCTAGTAGCCAAAAATGAGCTGTGGCTCTTGTCCCACTTCTAATGGGAATGGGTGTCACCGGGGCACTGGCCACCAGTACAGCTGGATTGGGAGTCACCCTAGACAAGTACACTGAGATCTCCAACCAGCTGTCAGAAGATGTCCGGGCCTTGTCCGCCACCATATGGACCCTCCAAGATCAACTAGATTCATTGGCAGAGGTGGTCCTCCAAAACAGATGAGGGCTAGACCTAACTGCAAAACAGGGGGGAATTTGTCTTGCCTTACAGGAAAAATGTTGCTTCTGTATTAACCAATCCAGCATCGTATGTGGAAAACTTCAAAAAATTGAAGAGTGGCTCAAATTGAGAAGACAACAGATGGCCTCTAACCCATTCTCCACACTCTGGGGAGGGCTCTTCCCCTACCTAGCACCCCTCCTGGGGCCCCTCGCTGCCTTGTTGCTTCTCCTTTCTGTGGATCCTTGTATTTTTCAGAGGATCATGACATTTGTTAATAGCCAGATAGACACGTTTATAGCAAAGCCCATTTAAGTACACTATCACCAGCTGGAGTTGGCAGATCAATAAACCTACTGGGAAAGATTTCCCATGAGTGGCCCATATGATGATGTCGCCTAACTGCCCTGGGACAATGGACAGGCAGCCAGAGACAGGCAACTAGGACATACATGCTACACCTCTGGCCGCCTAAGACAGGCACAGGACCAACTGCTGTCCTGCAAGCCCATGATGGGTAAGGCCCGGTTGGGTTCATGTAAAGAGGTCCTTGACCCAAGACAGGCACTGTCCTCACAGGGCCTGCCATACTCCTGATTAAAAAATATAGAAAGGGAGGAGATGTAGGGAGCAGTGCGACCGCCCCACTGCTGTCTCCCTGCCTCTCTCATATGGGCACATAATGCGCCTGCCTACATTAACCATAATCCTCTCCTACTCAAGTCATGTACACAGACGTGATGATGACCCATCAGTGATCACCCCGCAGCCTCTTCCTGTCCCACCGGCCCACCCTTGCCCTATAAAAGCTGCAACCACTTCCTCAATAAATGAGACTTGATTGGACTTCCTCAACTTGTCTCCATCTCTCTTTGTCTCTTGCCCTGTCTTGTTAGTCCCTGTTCCTGCTCCAGGTAGTTACCCTGCGGATTGACCCGTGGGCTGGGTCAGGATGTCTCTTGCTTTTCTAATATCCTCTTAAATCTCCTTTTTCAGAATACTGTAGTTTTCAATGTAGAGGTCTTTTACATCCTTTGTTAGATTGATTCTGAGGTATTACATTTTTTAAAGATGGTAGTGTAACAGCTATTGTTTCCCTGATTTCCTTCCCAGTGAGTTAATTATTCATGTACAAGAAGGCTGTTGATTTCTGAGTGTTGACTTTGTAACCAGTTATGTTGCTGAATTTGCTTGTTAAATCTAGATGTTTTTTAGTGGAAAAAATTCTACCTCATGAACAACCAATGGATCACAGATGAAATTAAAGAAAAAATCAGACAATTTTTATAATTGAATGATAATGACAATACAACATATCAGAACTTATGGGAACAATGGAAGCAGTCCTAAGAGGAAAATTTGTAGCGGTAAATACCCATATCAAGGAAACAGAGCAAGTGCATATCAATAATTTAATGGTGAACCTCAAACTTCTATAAAATGAAGAGCAGGCTAAGCCAAAGGCTCATACAAGGAAGGAGATTACAAAGATCAGAGCAGATAAAAAATCAATAATGAAATGTTAGAATTAATTCAAACTTTTGAACAAATAAACTTTAGTGGATGTCCACAGAGTGTTCCACCACACAATATTAAGATACACATTCTCCTTGCTTGCACAAGAAACATTCTCCAAAATAGACCACATATTAGCCTATAGTAAATGCAAAGGAATTGAGATTATCTCATGCATATTTTCAGACTACAGTGTGATGAAATTGGAAATTCATGCCAAGAAAACCACAAGAACTTCATAAACACACTGAAATGAAAGAGCACCCTACTGAACAACCAATGAGTCCATATGAAATTGAATAAGAAATTAGGCATTTTTTACAGTTGATGATAATGACAATGCAACATACTGGTACTTGTGGGACACGATGAAAGCAGTCTTGTCAGGGAAATTTATAGCAGTAAATACTCATATCAGGACACTGAGTAAGCTCATATAAACAACTTAATAGTGAACCTCAAACTTCTAGAAAAAGAAGAGCAGCCAAACCATCACTTTGAATTAAATGTGTTTCCTATAGCAGCATATTGTTGGATCTTGCTTCTTAATCCATTCTGCCAGCCTATGTCTTTTGATTGGTGAATTGAGACCATTAATACTGATGGTTGTAGCTGATATGAATTGACTTATCCATGTCATGTTGTTGCCCCCCTCATTGTTGTTGTCATGTTGTTGGCTCTCTCCTGTTGTTGGTTCCCTGTTTTTTCCCCCTTCCTCTAATTGTTTGCCTTGCCTGGTGGATTCCTTCTATTTGGGTTCATGCAGTATAGCAATTTTTATCTCTTTCTATAAGGTCCTACAGAATATTTTAGAGTGCTGGTTATAAATTTCCTCAGATCTCCTTTGAAATGAAAGTATTTTATTTCTCCATAAGTTTTGAAAGAGTTTTCTGGGGTACATCAATCTGGGTGGAAAGATGTTTTGTTTTAGGACTTGGAATACTTTACTCCATGCTCTCCTTGACTTGAGAGTTTGTGCTGAGAAGTCAGCTGTGATTCTGTTGGGCTTTCCTTTATAGGTGACTTGTTTCTTCCTCCTAAAAACTTTTAAGATTTTATTCTTGTTTTGAATTTCTGTAATTTTCACATTGATATGTCTGGTTATAGAATTTTTTGATATGGGTAATGGGAGTTTTATATGCCTCACTTATCCATATGTCTAGTTCTTTTTTTATACCAGGAAAGTTTTCTGCTATGATGTCTGTGAACATTTTATAAAATATCTTTTGGGGTATCTTGACTCCAATAAATCTGAAATTATTCTTTTTGTCTTATCTAGCAGCCACTGGATTGATTTCTCATGTTCCTTGCTATTTGGGGGAAATTTTTCTTTTCCTGGTCACTAACTACAAGCCTGTCTTCAATATCTGAGATCCTGTCCTCACATTGGTCTAATCTGCTTCAAATATTTTCAATGGAGTTTTTATTCTCTTGGATATCTGCTTGAATTTGCTTCATGGATTGAATTTCTTTCCTATGTGTATCTTCTATAATTTGCCTAAGCTCATCTATTTTTTTTTTGTCTGTGTCTGCTCTACTGTTGCTAATCATGGTGCGTATTTTGGTAATCTCTGTAGTTATCTGAGAAATTATTTCTGATTTCATTTTTTCCAGAACCCCATTCAATTTCTTTGTTGTTTACACTTCATAGAAACTTGGCAGGGATATTTTTGGATTGTCCCACCGCATTGCTCCCTGGATTTGCCTTTGATGAACTGGATGTCTGAGGCTGTACTTTGCTTATGTGTCTTCTCATTTTATTTCTCTTTTTTTAGTTTAATTCCGGGGGTGATGCTTGTAAGTTGTCTATGGTGGGTTGCTTTATTGGTAGTATTGAGGACTGTTAGATGATGATTACTTCTCTGAGGTATCTTCCAGGAGTAGTTGGTTTTTGGGTTTTGAGTCTGTTGGAAGATCTTACCTCTTCAGCTTGTTAGAGATGAGAATTTGTTGCTTGTATGGCTTAGCCCCTGATTCTTTGGCACTGTGCCACTGTATTTTCTGTGACCCTTAGTTAATCTCAGTTATGGATTATCAGGACCAACAGCTGTTTAGACCAATTATATCAGTTTTGGCTATAGTGGTACCAATAGCATCAAATACAGTTCAACAAACAAACAAATTTGCAACTTTTAACCATATGAACTATAATTGTGATTATATAACAAAATGTAAAACAAACAAGATAATTATATGCAGTATATAAGTCCATAATGTGTCAATTTTGCCCTTGGGGTTAAAATTTAAAATGGATTTAGGAGCACTGAGGTTGTAGTGCAGCAAAGCTGAGCACATTGTGTGTACCTGACCACGGAGGATAGCTTGCGTAGTGATCTCCATCCAGTCATGCAGCCTCAGCCTATCACTCAGAACCTGTTAGGGTCACACCCAACACCCTCAGTCACTGGTGGACCTTCATGAAAGGCCCTCCAGGCCTAGTTGAGCCATGCCCAGGGACCTGGGGGGGGGGCAGGCACTGCCTATACTCCATGTTGTGAGCTGAAAGCCCACACGGCAATCTCCATCCAGCTGTGCAGCCTCGGTCCCATGCTTGTAACCTGTTAGGGCTTTGCCCAGCATCTTCAATCACTGGGGGACCTTCAGGAAGGTCCTTTCAGGGCTAGTTAGGCCCCACCCAGCAACCCCAAGTGGCTGGGAGCTGCTTGTGCTCCAATTTGCAAGCCAAAAGCCCACATAGCAATCTCAATCCAGTTGTGCAGCCTCAGCACATTGCTTAGAACCTGGTAGGGCCATACCCAGCACCTTCAATTATTGGAGGAACTTTAGGTAGGTCCTCAGGGCCTCGTTGGGTCATACCCAGTGACCCTGAGTGGCCGGGAGCCATCAGCACTCTAAATCATGAAATGAAAGCCCATGCAGTGATCTCCATCCAGCTGTGCAGCCTTGGCCTGGCACTCAGAACCACATAGGGCCCTGCCCAGCATCTTCAATCACCAGAGGACCTTTAGATAGGTCCCTTCGGGCCTGGTTGGGCTCTGCTCAGTGATCCTGAGTGGCCAGGATCCACTTGGTAAGGCCTGACTGATGACTGCCCCTCAACTGGGAAACTCCCTACAGTATAGGCAGATATTCTCAATCCAGGAAACAAAAGAGACCTTGCATTAAGCTTCCCCAGGGGAATACAGGAAAATGACAAAACAAAAGAGCAAAATGCAATCTCAAACCTCCAGTCTATCCTAAATAAGCCTAGGAGACATGGACATAGAATAAAATGTAAGCTGTACACCTGAAACTGCTGAAATGATAGCAACTGAAGTAAAGAAACAACTCCAGGAAGCTGTACAGGAACTCAGATCAGCAATCATCTCCCAGGGAAAAGAAGAAATGATAATTATAATAAAAGAATTGGTGAAAACAACTAAAGAAGACATAGTTTAAAAAATTGAGGGACACTGCAAAACGATGAAAACCTTGAATGAACAATATAAGAAAGAAACAGGATGCATGAAACAGATTCAAAAAGATATCCAGAAAATCAAAAATTCCATCAAAAGTGGGCAAAACTTCCACAATGAAAGTGAAGATAGACTTTTAGATCTTGAAGACAAGACAAATGACATCAAAAGACTATTTACAGAAGTAATAGCCAAAAGTTTCCCAAGCAGATAAGTAAAGCATATAGAACTCCAAATAGCCCTAACCAAAATAAAACTACAGACATATAATATCAAATATATAATAATCAGATATAATAATCAACACCTCATAATTTCAATATAAGAACAGAATTTTATCAAAAGCTGTTAGAGAGAAGAGATAGATCACCTATAAAGAAAAGCCCATCAGAATCACAGCAGACTTCTCAACACAAACAATGAAGTCAAGATGAACATGAAGTATTTCAAGTCTTAAGGAAAATGACTTCCAACCTAGACTGATTTATCTTGCAAAACTGTTCTTCAGACTTGATGGAGAGATAAGATACTTCCATGACAAAGAACAGCTGAAGAACTTCACCAAACCAACCCTGCAAATAATACTGAAAGATTGTCTAGATACACATGAAAATAATTACAACTTCAAGAACACCAACAGGAAAAAGCCACTAAACAAGGCAAACAATTAAACAGAGGGGAAAAGTAAAGAGCCAATAGCAGAAAGATAACATGACAAAAATGAGCCAATATATATCAGTTATAACCATTAATGTAAATGGCCTCAATTCAAATGAAAAGAAATAGACTGGCAGAATGGATGAAGAGGTGGGGGTTTAGCTCAGTGGCTTCAGTGCTTGCTGGAAAGCACCAGGTTGTGAGTTCAATTCCTGGTACCAAAAAAAAAAAAAAAAAGGAAAAACAAAAGAATGGATGAAGGA